AGCTAATACTCTCTTACTCCCTAACACTGAGACGGTTAAGCTTGAAAAACTCGAGTGCTATTGCTGACACTGGACAATCTCAGCTGCAGGAGTCCAGTCTTCCTCATTTCATGTCTTACAGCAAATTCCAACCTCTGTGCAGGTTCTTTGCAGCCATCTGAATCTACTCACAAGATGTTTTTTTTCTTGTCAATGGTATAAATACCAACAGCCATTCTCCCTGTCTGGAATCCCTGTCCCCTGCTCCAGAAGACTGGGGGGAAATTCCTCAGGGTGACTGACCTGTTTGTACTGACAGGGGTAGGGGGAGGTTAGTGCAATGGAGAATAAGCTTTTGTGCTTTCATTATGGTAGCACATTGCCACTGAAGGAAAAAGGGCAGTATGATTGTCTAGGCTTTATAAAAATATTGCTATTCTAACATGCTAAAATAGATTTACTTTTAATTGACCTTGAGGTAAGAAGCCTCTCAGTGAGTGTTGAAAATACTCCTCAGATCCAGAGCATTGTGATCTTTGACTAGGAATAGTCTTTGATTAGCTCATTCCCTATCTGAGCTGCTCCTTACAGGAAATAGGGGTAACTCTGGGTAACTTGTGGCCTCCCAGGCAGGAGGATGGGATTGCCAGGAGTCCTGCACACCAGGACAGCACTGGCTGCCTCGGAGCTGGGAGCAGGAGCAGGTTGTTCCTGAGTGATGTAGGAAGGCTCTGAACAGTCACAGCTGCCAGCGCACACGTCAAGCCCAACCACCAAATCTCAGACTTGCTCTGACACGAACTCCACAGTGAACTGCAACCAGGGAAGACATTTGGAGCAGATCAGGACAACATCCTGCTCTGGGTATTGTTCTGGTTGAGGCAAGCTCTGCACTGGGCTGATGGAACCACCACCATGCAGCTGCTCTAGAGAATATATCCCAAGTGACAATGCAGAAAACAGTCCAAGCAGTATGGAAATAAGGCACTTGAGGTGAGGCAGCAGCAGCTGGCCCCAGTGTGGGCTGGCTCAGGTGTCCCTGCTCCCAGGGGTGAACAGTACCATGTGTGGAGGAAGGAGCTGCAGGCAGATCCCACTGTCCCTGCAGAGCAGGACATTGCTGCTCTAAATACTGTGCTCTCTGGGGTGGGATAAATACAGCTTTGGTCCATTCCCACCCCAGATGCTCATTTCACAGACAGCAGCTAAGCAAAGGTAACTATACCACGTGTGTACCCTGAGACAGAGTACAACGAAATACTGACAAACATCAGCCCTGGAGGGGAAAAGGGAAAGGTCTTGTGGACTGCTTAAATTAATTGGCCTATGCAAATGCTGTTTCTAGCTTTTCCAGAGTAACAAATCCAATGTTTCACAATTATTTTTGCAATGAATCCAGTAGGAAGTACAATATAGTGGAGTTCAAGTACTATAAAGACAGGTTTTTGTAACCAGACTCTTGTCAAACACCTGGAAACCAGGTGTTAGCATTATCCTTTACAGCAAGAACCAAATTCCCTTTGCTCACTGCTAGAACACCAAAACTTTCCAGCCTGGATACGAAAATGAACATCCAAAATACAAGGAGCCACAGCATTGATCAAGTACCCAGTCGAAGACAACTTCTCTGTTGTTAGAGCTGATGGTTACTCGAAGCTTGAAATTTCCTCCCTCGTTGCTGCAGGGCCCCAACTGCACAACCTCCATGTCAAACGTCACAGTCGAGCCAGAAGTCACAGCAGGGAGTTGGTTTGTCATCTCCTTCCCATTCACAAAAACTGCCCCTGGAACAGTCAACAGGTCAAACAGCACTTCTCACTCCCTGCACTTACTAACCATGTGTCCCTACTTTCTGCAGCCAACAGAGCTGGAAGGTAACCCTGGTGCAATCCCTTTGGACACATCAAACAGGCTCCAGTAACTGCAAGCAGGAAAAGGACTCACCATTGGTGCTGATGCACACAGCCTTGTCCCTCTGCAGGGAATCGTAGCCATTCTGCTGCTCCACACACACCCCCAGGCTGTCCCTTCTGTCTGGCTGTCCCACGGTCTCAATTCTGCCAAGCAAAAACTTCAGTCAAACCCTGAAGCCTTAAATCAAAACTGCCATGAAATCCAGACTGTCACACCAGAGCCCTGCACTGAGCTCTCAACAAATTCAGCCAAACTTTAAGGGAGTTCCCTGCTGAATTCCTGACCAGAATTCCCAACAGCTCCACTGAGCAATAATTATTGATCTGTACAAGACATGAATGTGCTTCCTGCAAACTTTCAGTGCTATTCAATGCAATTTTCCACTGACACAGCTTAGATCTTTTGAAATGATTTCCAGTTGTCTGAAACAACCAGTATGCTCAAACCTCCACCAATTACTGGTCAGCATCACATGTTACAGCAAGACAGCTGCAGTTTCAGCAAGGATCTGCCACATTCTGCTGTAACGGGGCAGGCTGTTGGTGTGGGGGATGTGTAGGTTTGTTGTGTGGGGTTGGTTTGGGGCTTTTTAACAAGTCAGCTTGGTGCAAATGCCTAGAAGAGCATTTGCAAGTCTCACTTCTGCTCAGCTGCATTTAGGGGTTTGGTCCTGGGCAAGAACCTCTGAAGAAAAAGCCAACAAGTCGTACAAACAACCAGGGCTCAGTTCCCTCTGGGCCCCAGCAGCAGAGTGAGGCTGCACAGTCTGTGCACTGAAGGGCTTTTCTGCTCTTGAGTCCTTTCTCTGGTCCTGCCACCTCTCAAAGGTGCTAAATCCTACTTTAGAGAGAGCCTGAGTGACTCAGGAAACTCAGATGGTCTTTTCTAGCAAGCAAAACTGGTTATTTTCATTACAGATTGAGAGGCAGAACAGCACTGAGATGTGGCTGTTGGCAAACAACAGGAAAACTTCACACAAGCTTTCAAGAACCAGCAGTGAAGGTGGGCAGTGCACTGGCACACAGGGGGTTAACTCTTTCCAGCCAAACAGGGAAGACAAAATTGGAACCATCTTTTACTTTTGCACTCCATTAGGTTTCTCAGTCCCCTGGGAATGTCACTAAGAGCAACAGCCTTGTACTGCACAGTGAAGAAAAAAATTCTATAGACCTCCAAGATCTTACTTTGGAAAAGATCCACAATGTTTTCCCAAATGAGATTTCAAATTCATTCTGGTGCTCTGCTTTAGACTGTAAACTGAGTTACTGGTGAAGCTTTAGAAACAGCCACTTACCTGTAAACTTTGTGCCTAAGGTAACATGAATTCATTCCCTCCCTCAGTCAAAGGGGCCTTTCTGGAGTTTTGGGATGGAAATAAGTGTTTGCACAGTCACAAGAATGACCAAAAAATGTATAACCATAAAGGCATTCTAAAGTAGGAATTGTGTCATGTCAACCTCTCTCCACAGACCTTTTGCAGACCCTCTCAAGGTCACCTGGACCAGCAGCAAGAAAAAACATCACACAAGTGACAGGACAGTGAGTGCTGCAAGGTGAGAGTGATGGGACACCCCGAGCTGGAGCATCCACACAGGAGTCAGAGCCTCATCTCAGGGACAGGACTGCAGGCAGCAAAGGTGCTGAGGGTTTTAATCACATTCTGTGTCAAATGGAAAGTCTGAACTGCACAAAGTCCTTCTCCACCCTGCACTCCCTAATGCCAGTTTCAAGCAGTGTCTGACCAGCACTAACCATCTCTGATCAGTACCAGACTCATTCAGCAGCACATCCAGTGTTTTCATGTCCAAAGTCTGGGAAGGAAAGCACCCCCTGACCCAAGGTTCAAAAGGACCAGTGGTGAAGCTCCACTGACTTCAGCCAGTAACAGCTGCTGCACAACTCCAGGAAGTTCAACATTCCAGAGATCTGCTCAGCACAGACTGTATTTCACCACCCCTCTGGAGTTCACTCCTATCTGCAGTGCAGGTCCCACACAAATAGCAGAGCCAGGAGGCAGAAGCAATGAGAAGGAAGCTCAGACTTCACCCAGACTACCCTGACAGGGCTGACAGGTGTGAGACTTGAATGTGGCTCAGTTTCCACACAGCTCAGGTGTGATGGCTCACAGGGGATGCAGCACACAACAGCCACCCAAGAGGTACTTGCCTGAAGGTGAGTGTCTGCCCACAGAAGTAGGTAGGAGCTTTGGAGTAGAGCACCCCACAGGACTGGGAGTCGTTGCGCAGTGCAATGTTCCTGCGGCTGCTCAGGCTGTAACCCTCCAGGCCAGGGGTCCATTCTCCAGAGAAAACAAACAAAAGCATGAGAAGGGTAAACCTCAACTCCACCAACTCCTGTCTGTGCAAAACCAACTTAGTCACAACGTGCACTCAGTCCACCCCGCATGCAGCTTAAGCTGTGTTAAGAGCAGAGGTTTTGCCTTCTGATGGAGAGCTTTGTTTTTCAAGTAAATTGCACGTACAAAAAGTATTTCCCAGCTCAGAGTTCACCAGAAGTTCACTCTTTGCTGCAATCCCTGAAAAGTCATGTTGTAGACAAAGGAAAACCTTCGTTACCCACTGCCCTTAAAAATCTGTAAGTGAAGAGAAAATTTAGGGTTTAGTCTCTCCAAGTTAAGAACTTGTTCTGAGACTGTAGGTCATCAAAAATACTTAGGCTGGGGTGAGGGAGAAGGCAAATAATGCTTTGCTTACTGGTGCTTTCCAAGGCTAAGTAAGCAGCAAGTGACCTGTGAAAGGCTCAGGAGTCCCTCACACCAGGGAGCAAGGAATGAACTGTAGGACACACATGACAGCTAAGGGCACATCACACAGGAAGCAGCTCCGTGGAGCTGCAGGAGCTGCAGAAGGAGCAGCAGAAGGGGAAGCAGCTCCGTGGAGCTGAAGGAGCTGCAGAAGGAGCAGCAGGAGCAGCAGAA